TTTTGTGAATGGCACCCCCGAGGGTGCAGAACTTGGGGCTGCTGGTTGATGCGTCCGGTGGGCTGGGTTATAGTGGGCCGGTGGCCCTAGAGGACGGGTTGGTGACCCTATAGGAGACCCCGGGTCTTGGTGGTCAGGCAGCCTCCAAGCATCTTCCATTCATCTGCTCGGCTTCCAGCACAGAGGCGAGAGAGTAAGTGGGGGCTTCTGACAGAAGCTGCTCAGCTCCTCCCTAAGCGGCTGCGCACCCAAGACTGGCCTATGCCTTTCTCACCTAGTTTGGGCCTCTGGGTCACAACTCTACGCTCATACACCACCCCCTTCCTGCATTTCTCTCCCTCTCTCCCTCCCTCTTCCTCTCCCCCAGCCCCCGCCCCATCCACTTGCGTTCACGTGGCCAAGTGGTGAGTGTCTGCCCCTTTGTGGGCCCCACCTGGAGCTGGTGCTGAGAACACTGCGGGTTATTGCAGAAGGGCTCTTTGGGAGTGAGAGAGGCGAGCCAATGAAGGGTTCCCCTGGACCTGATCTCCAACCCAACTGTAGCTTTCTGGGAAGAGTCTTTTCAGTCCCTTCTTGCCTGGGGCTAGGGCACCGGCTTTGGGCACCGGCTGAATAGGGTGGTCTGGGAGACCAAGACTAGGCAGTGAATGGGAGGGTTAGCCTTTCGGCTGACGCGTATCTCAACTGATTGGCCCTGTTAGGCCCGGCCCCTGTGCCCAAGCTGGCCACAGGGGGGCACCTGCTCTCCAAGGAGCTCCGCCTGAGGAGCCCCTGCGGGCACCAGAGCCTCCCTCGCTCCCGGCCTGCTCCCGGCCTGCGCACTGGCTGAACTGCCTGGAAGGGCAGGGCCAGCTCCCACCCCCACCATCCTCTGCTCTTTGAACCCCTCCCCCCTTTTCCTTTTAAAACATTTTGAAATAACTTTAGACTTACATGTGAGTTGCAGAGATGGTACAGTTTCTGTACTGTTCACTCAGCTTCCTCCTAATGATGGCCACCGTACATAACAATGGTTCTGCCCCCTTCTGTGTCCTGCTTGCTGGGAGGGGCCGGTTGCAGGAGGGCCCCTGTGGCCTGGGCGGGGAGCACTGCACTGGCATCAGCGCCCCTCAGCCCCTGCTGGGTAGGCAGTACTGCTGGTGAAGCTTCGGTGCACCCGGGTCCCCCGGCTTTGAGTGCCCGGGGAGGGCGTCGCGGCCCAGGACTCGGGCAGCCGAGGCCGCACACCGCGGGCCAGCTGGGGGTGTGGGCGCTCAGGCAGATTCACCCACTGGGTGTCCCGGGCAGACCTGGCCCTGCAACTCGGTGCAGCCAGCACCTCTGGGGGCGCAGTGCCTCAGACTCTCTGGGTAGGTAAGGCGTCTAGGAGGACGCACTTGGGAACTACGCCATTTTCTGGGCCCCACAGTGGGTGCTGAGGAACTGTGAGGCCTTCCTCAGAGTAAGTCACTGTAACCTCCAGACCAGCCCTCCCCCCACGTACTCTGCCCGCACCCCATCTTCTTGACGGTTTGGGGGCAGAGGTTCTGCCCTCACCCAATGGAAAGGAAAAAGTCATAAGGGCTTTGGAAGACTTGGTGCTCCAGGAAGTAAGTGATTCAGATTTGTGAAGTATGTACAACCAACCACCCTATCAAGGGTGACACAGCCATCTGGTCTGAAGTCCTCTCTAACCAGGCTGATTATTTCTAATCTCCGCACACCTTGTCTGGGAGTAATGAGCTCAAAGTACCCATCGCCCCAGGTTTCAGAATATGTCACGTGAAATACACCCTGGCAAGGACAAACTAAACCAAAGGAAAAAGTAACAAGAGAAGTGAGACTGGGACGTTTGCTTCCCTAGGCTTCCCGAGGTTCAGTGGTTCCAACAGGAGGGGGGAACTGGGAGGGGGAGCGGTGAGGAGAGGGCATCCCGACCCCGGTACCACGGGGCTGGGAGGCTGGGTGGCACTGTGCGTGGAAGCCCCCCGCGCGGGTCCTGGCCCATTTACGAACCCCTCAATAAACGGCAGCGGGGAAACAGCAGGGCCTTCCACACGGCGGCCTAACCTGGGGCTGGGTCTCAGGCCTGGGCCGAGCAGGCTCCTTCCTGACCTGGCAGGGCAGGGGCCTTCCTATACCCCAGCGGCAGTGCAGCCAGTGCTCCAGTGGGGACAGTACAGGCAGGGGTTATTCAAGGGGTTCCACGGCCAACTGTGTCCTCAGTTTCCCTTTCCAGAGCTGCCCATCCTGGATCAGGGGGAGGTTGGGGACTTGGGCTTGTCATCTAGCAGATGGCGATGGTGCCCTGCCTGGGGCTTTCCTCCTGCGGCTACCCCAGGGTCTGGGGTGCCCAGGCCTTGAGAGGGGAGGGTGGGCTCTGGCTGGTGTAAGAGAGGGCGATCCTGGAGCCACTCCTTCCTGGTCCCTTTTCTATCCCCACTGGGCCTGGGCTCAGATCCTGCTCCTGCCTAGTCATGTTTACTTGAGCAAGAGACTTAACCTCTGTAAGGCTCCTTACCTGTGAAATACGAATGATGGTAATATCTATCCCAAGGTTATTGTTGGGACTGAATCAGGCAAAACACCTTAACAGGCCTCAGAATAAACAGGCTGCCTTCTCTTGGACTAGGCTTTCCTGGTGGGGGCTCTTATCTCCCAGACCCAGAACAGCTTTGCCCATGTTGCTGAGATTAAACATGTGCCCAGAGAGAAGGGAATGGGGTGTCTCTGTGGAGAGCAGCTGATACAAGGAGAGAACTTGGGAAAGCTCACTATTAACCCACTGTATTCTAGCTACTATACCAGGCTCGACAGAGAGGAAGTTACAGAGGAGACATAAAAATAGATATGCCAAAATAGAACTGAAAGAAGATTGCCAAAAGAGTGGTTTAATTTAATTTATAAGATTCATGTATTCATGAACTTTCAAAAAGTTTAAAATCCTTACAGTCTGTAACTGAATTTCATGATGGTGGTGGTTTTGAGATTTTCTTAAAAGTGGCCACAGATTCTCTGAGGCCGAGGTTGACCATCAGCCATTTTATGGATGTCCTTACGGGAAGAGAGGCTGATGCTGGCTGCAAGTCAGCTGACAAGGGTGGTTAGGGTCCTCCTTGACCTGTGGGTTTGCTTTGCACTCAAATCTCATAACAGAGCGCTCAGTCCCGACAGGGCTCAGGTGTCCACCTCCATCCTGAGAAAAAGGGAGAGCGCCAGGCTCCTGCCATCCTGCCTCCCACTGCTTCGTGTGGCAGCTCAGAGGCTGGGGCACACTCTGATACTGTGCACTGCCCAGGTATAAGAAACCAAGATTTTCGGTTATTCTTTTATGGACTAAAGCCCCCTTTCTGGAGATTTTGGTTACTCTCACTCTTGGAAGAGGGCTTATCTGATCTGAAGAAATGCCCTCCCAGCCCCGTATATGCCACAGGACATAGTGCTGCTTGGTTTATAAACCAAGTGGGGTCAGCCAATGCTGGCCAGATAGCATGGGCATTTCCTTTCTCAACTCTGGCCGCCTTGGTGCAGGGCGGCTGTATGGGCTCCTTAGCGCTTGTCCCTGCAAGGGTAAGTGTGCCGCGGAGCCCAGCCACCCTCCCTCCATTCATCACCCACAGCAGCATAGGTAGAAAGGGCCCCCGCCTGCTCAGTGGCTTTCTGTGCCAGAGCCCTCCCTTGGTCTGGGAGGCATGGGCCTGCAGGGTGCACGGCTTGTGCCAGGTTCGTTCTCACCCTCTCCCCTCTCCCCTCCAGTGTATGTGGTGGAAGACCAAAGAAGGGATGACCTGGGCCCGTCCACCTGCCTCACAGCCTGCTGGACTGCTCTCTGTTGTTGCTGTCTCTGGGACATGCTCACCTGACCGGCCCGGCCCTGCCGTCCGGCCAGCCCTGCTGCCACCTCCAACAGGTGTCCTGCCTCCATCTCTTCTGATTGCTGAAATAAATGACTAGCTCTGCACAGACACTTCTACCTTCAACACAGTGGGATTCTAGATTAGCAGGGGTTGCTGCTGTTTAATTCAGTGACTTGATCTTTCTAATGTTCAAAATCCATTTCCTGTTGGCCTTTCACAAATGTGCTAAATGACTTTCCTTTTGTTTTTTTGGCCAAAGGCTTAGTTATGAAATATATATATATATATTTATAATTTTTAAATTATACATTCAAGGTAGTGGCATAATGTAACATACCACTGAATGATTTCTCTGCTAACACCCTCTATGTTTCAATAAATTTGTCTGAACCTCAACTGTCTGAATTATTCCAGATAAAATTTAAGCCCTGGGTATCTCAGCTGGTGGCCACTCTCCAGTATTTACCTTTTCATTCTGGCTGCTCCCTGAGTAGGGTGGGTGTTATTAGGAAAGTAGGTCCTGAGGCGCTCACCACGCCAGCATTCTCTCTCTAGTCCCACTCAAAGATGGGCTCCCCAGGGAGCCAGACCCGCTTTTACACAGAGCCTAGGAAAGGGCCTCTTCCTAACCAGGGGCTGCCCCTGGCAGGAGGGAGAGCTGGAGCCCAGAGTCAGGGTAGGGGCTAGGCCCAAAGCGGGGCCCTCCCAACACACACCCACCCCTTTTACACACACCTCCCAGAGAGAAGAGCTGTCATAACTCAAGCTAGCCAGCCAGGCCACCCATCAGCTTTGGCCACAGGGTGGCGCTGAGCTGCCGTAGCAGAGAGGCAGTTTCCTCAGCGGGCCTGCCCCGCCTGCCCCAAGAGGCTGCACTTCACAGCTCCCTGCTACCTCCACCTGCCCACCTTCCCTCAGAGCAGTGATGTACTTAAAATATTTTAACTACCAGCTCTCTCTTTAAAAACAAACAAAACGCCATGATTTTTTTTAGCATCACCTGATGTCTGTGGAGTAATTGGTCCCAACACAGCTGATTGCAAGCTACCATGATGTCCTGAACGTGGAGTCAGAAAGAGAAGCGCAGGAGTGCCCTGCTATGTGGTGGTTCCACGGCCCAGGTACAATAGACCATTAACCTCAAAAACATGGATCATGGGCAGATTTAGTTACTAAGAGGGGGTATGTTCTAAATATTTATTACCCTTGGTCTTTAAAGTATGTAGCTTTACAATTAAATTATTAATTTTTAATAATGGCTGTGTTTAACAAATGGCTTGCAACAAAATTCCTAAAGATTGAATAATTCCCCCGAGCTAATGTAAGCCAGCTCCAAGACACCACTTCCCCCAAGCCTCTAGGAAGCCTCAGGATTGTAGCGTCCACCTTATGACATTGACCAAAGGGAGACAGTCTTAGAGGCGCTGCTGGTTTATTACTAAATTTCCTTTTGGAAGGTTGGGGAGGAAGCAGGAATCTCTAGGCAGGCTGCCACTGAGGAACTGCTGTCCTGCTCACTTAAAGTCAGCTATGCTCTGGTCTCCTTTGTCTCGTATCTGCACATTCCATGGCGGCTGTGAGCTTAAGGGGTTTACTCGAATGTTCTCAAAAGGGGAAAGAGAAGAGGGGAAGGCTTCGATGCAGAAGGATCAGGGCCACAGCCCCAGAGAGGGACAGGGAGGAGCTGAGGGAGAGGTAGCCTCTGCCTCTCTGTTCTCACCCCTCAGCTCAAGAAAAGCAACTTAACAGAGCGGCCCAGGTGCCTTTTATTTGTCTGACCAGCACGGCTAGGAGGGGCTGTGGGCAGAGCACCCCTACCAGTCCTAGCTCCCTTCACCTCTCTCCTGGGAGTTCATGACCCACCCCCAGGGGAGAGGAGTGTCTTCAGCAGCGGTAGCAGGCAGAGCTAGGATAAAAAATACAGGGTTGGGATTTTTAGGGGCGCAGGGTGATGTAGAAAACAGGGTTAGCAGAGTCTCCAGATAAAATGTCCATCAGGGTAAAGCAGAGGCCCTTTCCCTGCACAAGCCCCTTGTCCTTGCAGGAATGGGAGGGGTCAGGGGAAGTTCCCCCTTGAGGAGTCCTACTGTGCCCTTCGTGCCATCAGCATCTCCCTGATGTTGTCCTCAGCCTCCTTCACACTGCGCTCCAGGTAGGATTTTTTCTGCTGCAACATGAGAGAGAAACAAGGGTCAGGGTGAATGGGCCAGGTTGGCAGATGCGACTTTCATGCCCAATGGTCACAGCTTCGCCTCTGTGACCAGCAAGTGACTTCCGGGGGCGTATTGTCAATTGGGAGCCAGGTACACACAGCTGCCCAGAGTGCTCCCCCGATCCCTGATCCACAGGGGGAAGAGGCTGCTTGGTACAGAAAGCAGAAGTGCTGCAGAAGGCAGCAGCGCTCTTCCCCTACGAGGAAGTAGACTCTAAAAACAGGCGTCTGGGTTCACGGAGTTACACCAGACAAAGGCCAGGAAATTCCAGGACAAAGCTCCGGCCCCATAGCAGACTGTCTCAAGGTTTTCCATGGCCCCGGCCAGGCCGCTGCTGCCGAATGGACAGTGCACCCCCTGCTCTGTCCAGCGAGATGACAGGCTTTTGAGTCCTACGAAGTTGTATCACCCGTCTCACCGAGGCAGATGAGTCAAGATGAAATCTGCTTTTCTAATGAAACTGCTGCCTGCTAGGAATCCAGGACAGTGACACACAGAGTAAAACAGGCTTTTTGGAAGTTCACCTCCTACCCCATCTGGGTACTAAATTAAAATCTCAGCTTAGACAAAGAATTTCACTTTCAGGACCCACATCTGGACCCGTATTACAAAACATTAGTCAAAGGAAATGATGTCTGTACATTATTTGCCCTGTGGTCACCCCAGAAGTATGGTGGCTTCACCACTGGTCCCTGCCCTGAGGACATAGTTGTGGCTGCATTCCCACTTAACAGACATGCAATGAAAGCTCCCTTTTGGAGGAATACTCAAAATAACTCCCTCCGAGGCTGTGCGCGCCTGAGTCGCGCGGGAGCCAGCAGTGCAGAGCGCTTCCCTCAGGCCACCCCTTCCCGCGGGCAGCAGGGGCTTCCCAGTGGCCATTCAAGTGCCCAGGAGCCCCGGGGAAACGAGGGCAAGGCTAGGGCAGACGACAGGTGAGCAGCCTGGTCTGACGGGCCTTGCAGGACAATCTAAACGAAGGCCTCTATTGCTTGGGGCCTGCACCACGCAACCTCTCCACATATCCCTGCCTCTTAACTTCTCCACTCTCTGCCCAGGTCCTAATAAATGATACATTTAGAGACTCTTTCCTGTAGGTGCCAAACCTTTATCAATTTTTGTGTGAACCTCTAGTCCCTGTTTGTCTTCTCCTTCAAATTTCCTGAAGACAAGAAAGAGTCATACATATCTCTTTACCCATCACCCATCTGTCCAACTTGCACACAATTCCTTACAAACAGGAGCACCATAAAAACATGGTGACCATAATATGATGGCCACAAATGCACGTTATTACTAAGGAATTTTGTTTAATTACATTGCCAAACCTGATCTAGTCCTATCAGAGTGGGAACTTAAACTTCCCCTTTGATGAACAACCCTTAGACTATACTTGTGGTGAGTTAAAAAGAGAGGAATACTTATAACTCCTGACACACCACTGAAGAATGTACATGTACCGGGTGTTGCACAGAAGGGGAGCAGCAGCTAGACAGTGAATGCCATGGAGCATCTGGCCCCGTGGGAATCTGAGGAAGAGGCTGCAGGAGCAAGCGGGCTGTACCCTGCAGGAGCCACCCAGGGCTCGGGCCCCGGGGCCCCGGTGTGCACACTCCATCGCTGCGAACTCGCTGCCCTGACTGGCAAAATCACAAACTTGGAACATTAGCAAGAGATGTTCTATCTACTGCCCAGGCCTCTGGACAATCAAATTCAGTACCAAAATCAAAGTAATTCTTATCTTTAAAATTCTTTATTCTATAATGTCTATTTTTTCTATCTTCCACTTCCAGTCACATGATTTTTCATGATTTTACTATGGCACGTCCTAATTAAAGTCTTCAAGTTTCAAAAAATAATGCAAAATGAACTTGTCTGTTTTTAAATCTTTAACTTGCTGAACATAGAAAAAAAAATTTTCCATCCCATCACGTCGAGCATCCCAGGCACAGAGGGACCTGTTTTCTAACTGTAATTCAATAGGTCTCGTCCATCCTCAATCACATCTAAACTCAAAAACCCGCATAATCAAACTGGGACCGAAGCATCTGTCGTGGGTTGAATTGTGTCTCATATAAAGGTATGTTGAAGTCCTAACCCATTTTACAGTGAATGTAACCTAATTTGGAAATAGGGTCTTTGAAGATGTAACCAAGTTACGATGAGGTGGTACTGGATTAGGCTAGGCCCTAAATCCAAAAGCGCCCTTATAAGAAGGCCACGTGAAGACAAAAGGGCACACAGGGAGAATGCTGTTCATGGACGGAGGCAGAGAGAGGGCTGCATCTATGAGCCACGGAAGGCCAAGAATGGTCAGCAGCCACCTGAAGCTCGAAGCGGAAAGGAAGGGCTCTCCCCTAGACCCTTCGGAGGGAGCAGGGCCCTGCAGCACACATTCTGGACTTCTAGCCCCCAGGACTGTGAGAGAACAAATTTCTGTTGTCTTAAACCACCCACTTTGTGGTAATTAGTTGTGCGGCCCGTGGAAACCAACATAGCACCTAAATGAGGGAGGCCCCTAGACACAGGCTCTACACCCAGCTTCTTCTGGGCGACGGCCTCTGCCCACACTGAACTCACAGGCGCGCAAGGACCCCTGAAGTCAGTACTATGAGGCCATACTTCTCCCCCCGAGACTGGGGGAGAATGAACCCAAATACAAATCAGGCTGCCAAAGAATAGAGAAAATTAAGGAACCAACAATTACATCAAACTTTTTTCTCCTTAGATCTCCGCAGCTTCTTCCTACAAGTACTTAATAAAACCAGAAATTGTGTGGACCTCAGCCTTCCCCATTACTGTAAATGACAACTCCATTCTTGCAATTGCTCGAGACAAAACTTTGGAGTCATCTTTGACTCTTCTTTCATGCCCGACATCCATTCAACCAACAAATCCTGTTCACAATCTGACCTTAATGAATAGCCTCATAAGCGGTCTCCTTTCTTCTACCCTTGACCCCACTTCATTTTCTTCTCCACAGTGACCAGAGTCATCTTTTAACACTTAGAACCCTCCAATGGGTTTTACTTAGAAGTAAAAGGCAAAGCCTTTTCAAAAAGCCACATGGTCTTGTTCTCAGCTGACTCCCTGACCTCCCCACCCACAGCGTGCTCGCTCTCTCTCTCCGCTGCAGTCACAGTGGACGCCAGGCTGTTCCACAGTCCACCTGCCACGCTCCTGTGCAGCCTCTGCCCCGGCCCTCCCAGAGCAGGAACTCCCCTGCCCAGACAGCCGCATCACCCGGGCCTCCCTCACTGTCACCCTATGGGAAAGACCTTGATTACGTGCTGCTCCATACTCCCTGTTCCCACCCTGATTTCCCTCCATACCTCCTATGGTCACATAGCAGGACCAGAATTTGTCTGTTGTCCCTTACAAGAAAAGGTCCCTGAAGGTAGGACTTGGTTCTGTTTGCTGATATAGTCCCAGTGCCTAGAAGAATGAATGGTACATTCTACAGGCTGCCCCTTTACGAGCATTCTAGGAACTCAATACCTGTTGAATGAAAGTGTATGTATTTATGGGAAATGATGCCTTACTGGTTTACCTGTACACACACTGCTCCTTTTTAGTTCTCCCTGCCACCTTGAATGACTGAGGAACACCTACCAAAGGAAGCAAAGACAAAAACTGGCCATTCTCCTTCAAAGTGGTTTGCAGTTTTTGACAATGCCCTCTAACCTCTGCCTCTGGATATACACATAGGTCTGAAACATCAATGCTTTACTTCCACAAACACAACAGGCCCTTATGCCTTATCTGGCCAACCTGTAAAACTGTAAAATAAACTGTCCCAATTTCCCACATCTTGAAGTCGGAAATCCTTGAGAAACTGTTCGGTAACAGAGCTGCTGTGAGCTACAAGGGGGTTGTGCTGTATCAACTCCAGGAGGCATTTCAAACCCAAACCTCCACCAGGAGGCCTGGGAAGGCGTTTGCTGGCCTTGCTACAGCATTTTTCTGTCTTGCTGAGCAATCTCCCTCAGAACACTTTCCCTAGGAAACTCTCTAGTGGCACCAAACCACAAACCTCTGGGTGCAGCGACATTCTTGTGGGACCTTGTCCTGATATGAAATTCTGAGATTTCCTGTGGGCCTCAGCATGGCCAGGGAAATGAAATTGTTGGACTTATTGCTCATCAGCCTGAGGTTCTTCTTTCTGGGAGTCAGACTGAGGGGCTGGTGTGTCATTCTTATCCTCTCACGGAATAAAGACGCTCAAGTCCCTAGAACTTGCATGACATGACACAATCTCTCAAATAGACTCCTGAGGTCATTCATCTTGTGATGCTACCTCTACAGACTTTTTTTTTCTTTTCTTAGGAAGTTTGTCCTTTCTCTCTCTGTTTGTCATTTCTTGGGGTACAGAGAAGAGTTTCCCCTTCCCCCTCTATGTCCCGCTTTGTGAAATGAGAATTTGGACAATACCGGTGTCCCTACTCCCCCATTTTTCTTTAGTCACAGAATTCTTTCTTGAAATGAACTCTTATCTTAAGGACAAAATAAAGAAGACATGTATGATGCAGGTCGGGGAAGGCGGACACACGGCGGGTAAAAGCAGACCTGACCCTCTGGCTTGACCCCTGGCCCCCAGCCAGGCTACAGGGGCCGCCGGCCGCCGTCTCGGTCTCCTTTGCCCGATGCTCTGTGAGGCCTGTGCTCTGACAGCCTCTGCTCTGAGCTCCGTGTTTCTGACCCTGAGTTCGACCTATCCTGGCCACACATTTCGTCCTTTGCTGAATCCTCAGCTTCTGCAGATAACAGCCAACTTCAAGCTCTACCATTCATTTTAAAACCTGAGTCAGGCTGCCCTCTCACTGTCTCTCCCGTTCCTTCCAAATTAAAACCCCAAGGACCTCAATGGTTCTCGTGTCGCCAGGGTTTGCAGAACTGTAAAATGGCCGGAGGGTGCCGGCTGCCCACAGAGGGGAAGTTTAGCAAGAGGCCTAGA